CACACCCAAAACGTGTTAAAACCCACCCAATTTGATAGACCATAGGAAAATTAGAGTCCCTGAAAAAATAGATAACGAAAAAAATAATTAAATTAAAAAATAATTAAATTGAGCGAGTTTTAACACGTTTTGAATGTGTGGGATATTTTTTCCCTGGGATATTTTTTCCGGGATTCTTTTTCACGCCCAGGACGGAAAAAGGGAATCTGACGAATGCGACTTTATAGTCCGCCGAGTCAGTATAGTCAGAATCACTTTTTTCGCCGTGGCTATATGATACTATTTTATGTCATTGTGGCCGAAAACGAGTTTTTATCCGAGCGAAGCGAGGTTAGAAACGCGTTTTACCGGCCGCAATGACATAAAAATATTTTCAATGCATTCTTCATTTGAAAGTAACAATTAAAGATCCGATAGTATACTAAAGTCAGCATAAGTTTTTCCTTCGATATTAGGAGTGGGGTGCATAGTTGCAAGTGGTAACTACGTGGAGTGGGGGTATACCTATATCAGTAATATAGTACGATGCATTTGGACGGAATTATACACAAAAAGTAGAGAAATATGTTATGTTATATATGTTATACAGTAAGCTAAAGGAATACCGACGTTTGAGCACATTTCTCGTTTGTTTTGGAATAAAGAGAGTTATTTATGATTTCAATCAAGTGTTTAATAATTAATTATTGTACAGACAATGATGGAGGAAAGTTTAGGATCTTCTCCTTTGGAAGATAATTTGGATATAGGTCTAAGTTTCGGGGTGAGTGTTTAGTTTGATAAACGTTTGATAAACATAACCTCTATAGGTTATGTTTCGATTTGTATCTCTAGATTTAGCTGCAAATTAGGATGTTCTCAATCAGCAGAACTCATTTACAGGACGACAGTCAGAAGGCTGCGAAGATGAATCAATCATTTTTGTTATTGAAGAAGAAATTATTCCGTTCTCAGTGAGTATTTGCCAATTTCATAATTAAGTGAACAAATGATAAAATTTTTTTGCTTTTCAATTTTTTCCGTGTCGGAAGTTTTTATTATCATCTGCAAGGTAAATGTATAGGTATATGAAATCGACGATTGGGTAATGAAAAAATTTGATTTTAGAATAAAGGGACTTTCTTCCACCAAAAAATTGTAGATCAAACCCTCGATCTGATCAAAGTCCAAAATCAAATACCCAAAAATTGTTATAATTAACGAGCACAATTCTCACACTTTTGTTCCAGTGATTTGATCCAACAATACAGCAATAAAATAAAAGAATGCGAGAGTTTGCGAAGTGACGTTGAATCATGCCAACGAGATTCCGAGAGATTCAAACAGCAGCACCTGACAGCCACAGCCAAGATCGTCAAGCTGAGCATGGAGAACACAAAACTCCAAGAAGCTAATAAAAGATTGGAAAGCCTGATAAACGAGCACGAAACACACATAGCTGGGGATCAGCGCCTCATCCAGCAGCTTAGCTGCAAAGTCGAGGACATTGAGGACCGCCATTCCGAGAAAGTAATGCAGTTGGAGCTCGAAAAATCAGCTTTGCAGGGTAAACTCAAAGAGTTAGAACAGAAGATGAGGAGAATCAGCAAAGCCCATGCGAGTGATCTAAAAAAGCTGGAGAAAAAGGTCGACCCAAAAAGTTTAAACAAGAAACTGTTGAAAGTATCTCCATCCAAATCCAGTATAATCACTGGCCTAAAGATGATTGACAATGAAAATCAACTCCCAGAGTCCTCAAAATCTCCCGGAATCTCAGAAGTTTCCACTGAAATCTTTCCAGAAGATATTCCCCAAGATCTATCAGGGCCTCCTGAATCTCAGTCATCACACGATGACACAATTATGGAACAGTCAGCGAAAGAGATTAGATTTGAAGAAGATGATGAAATCATAGAAAAATCAATGGGAGAAATTGAAATTTACAATGATTTTAAAGATGAAATCGTTAAAAAATCATTGGAAAAATTTGCGGTTAACGGAGGCGATAAAATAATTGAAAAATCAATGGCAGAGATGGAAGCTGACAAACCCGAGAAAATCATCCAAAAATCAGTAAGAGAAATGGGAATAAACGTAGATATTTCCCTCTTCCCTCCAAAACCAGTGACAATCGACAGGAACATCATGACGGATGAGTTCTACAGTTTCAAAGACAATCCTTACCCTCTGTTCTGCGAAAAATGCCAGCAGTTGTTGGATAAATCCCCAGACGATGTTATTTGTAAAGCTATGAGACTCCCCCCTCATGTCCCTGCGCCTCCTCCATCACCTGCCAGACCTGTGACGACAAGGCGATATTCAGAGGAAGGGCAACCAACCTATCCTGTCATCCTGGACAGCCTCCAGAGAAGAGTTAAGCTCCTGGAAAAGCGGATAAAACGTCAAAAAAAGTTGGAAACTTCCCAGCAATTGTCGTGCTGCAATCATTCACAGTCAGTTTCTCACTGTGGACATAGTAATTCGTTAAGTCACTCCTCCCAGTTGGACCTGATGACACAACTCTTGGGTAGAATAATGCATTTGCCAGGATCCAGGAGCCCAGAGAAATTTTTGTCCATGAGAATGAAGAGAAAAACTCACAGAACAAAAATGTATTTGAATGACTGGGATGTAGAGTCCCAGGAACGTACCGTGCGTGGTGTTAAAGATTTATCGTCAAAATCTCGGGCATCATCATCTCGGGAATCATTCGAAAATCTCCGACAGGATTGCAATCCAGAGGATACCTTCTTCGATTCAATGTCTTCTGCCGGAGTAGCTAAAAGAAAAAAAGAAATTCTCAGGGGAATTGATGAATCAGGAGAGAATCCCTGCAACTCTTCTCCACAGAAAATCAATCGTGGAAGGCGAAAAGCTGCAAAGACAACTGAGGAATTGAAAGCTCTCCATCCAGAAAAATATCCAGGGCAGATATCCCCCGATGTCGAAATGAACTTCTTCGAGAATAACTCTGCCCCCTCAACGTGTCAAAAAAGAAGGCATCCAGAATCATCAGGTTCAGTACTTGATGATACTGTTGCCAAGAGGAGAAAACTAGCGGACGACCCACCAAAGACAGTTAGCGTTCGATCGAATTTGTTGAAGAACTTGAAACGATTGAAGAAGAATAACACGGCAGTCAAAACCATCTCCGGAGTTGCAACTATCAAGAACACTGACACTACCAGTCCTACTGATGTCTTGGGAAATAAAAAACGAATTGCTCATGTTCCCAGACAACCACAAGTGCCCTCTATAACCAAACCAAGTACTGACATTGATGAGGCGAATTCCGAAAATATTTTTAATAATCTAGGAGAAAAGAGGATTACTCGATCATTGAGAAAGTCGTCAGACGACAAAACTAGGAAAAATATTGAGCAGCTGAACTCTTCGCAAGAAGACACCATCAATAACGATTCAATCACCTCACATTTAACTTCCGTTTTTCGAGATGAAATACTTCCCGCTGTAAAAAATTTAGAAATGAGTGACGAAGAAACGGAGATGATCATCGATGACGCTGCAGCATCTCTACCACCAGTGCCCCCATCATCTCCAACGGGAGAATCCTTAGAAATCCCTTCAGAAGTCAGAGAAATCCCCTCGATTTACGAAACTGCAACAGTATCAGATTCCTCTGATAGCGAGCGCCCGGATAATGTAAACTCTTCCAACTTTATAAGAGAATTACGAAATCGACAGATTCACGTGAGTCCAACAAAACCAAAATCCATTCTTTCACACCCAAAAGAACCTCTTGAATCCCCAGCCTCTTCACTAGAGACTTCATCATCACTTGCACCCTCTCTGGACCCACCAAGCCAACTCATTCCCCAGAAATTAAAAAAAATCGAGGATCTTCTGGACAATTACCTCGCCACAACGAAAAAACGTCCTGGGAGAAAACCAAGAGTCAACGAAGTAGCAAAAGGGCTCCACTCCAAAGCAGAACATCTGATAAAACAGGAGCTGAAGAGACTGATCGAATCCCCGGACTGGAACGACGTTCACTTGAGTGTCTCTCTCACTCTCCTCAACACGAAGAGCCCTCGAACAGTGGCAAAGACTCTCATCGACTTCTTGGTGGAACGATCAGATGTTATCGAGCCCCTGGATCTGACCTACACCCCTCCAGCCCCTCCCATGACGAAGAGCCTCCAGAGGATCGTCACTCTGCTGATAGATCTCAACCGTGAAATGCCAGGATTGACAGACTTGGTATTACAGGGAATTGACTTCACCCTCTTCAGATTGAATGCCAGTCCCTCTTGGGAAGCAGTTGGTGAGCTTTCGAAATTGTTCACTATACTCGTGAGGATCAGGAAAGATCGTGAACGAGTCAGGATCATGTGCTGCGACGCTATTTACGGTCTCCAGAAGAAGAGTTTAATTGTTCTCCACGCAGTCCTGACTTGCTGGCCTGAGGTCCTACCAATGTATGATGCTGGGAAGAATCAGTACTTGCCTATTACTATTGTTCACATTGTGAGGACACACTCGGTGGACGATAATGCCAAGTGTGAGCAACTGAAGAAACTCATCAAGGGGTTCTTCAAATATCCTCAGAACGAGTCCTCTGCGGTACTGGGAAAAAAATTGCTAGATATTCTTGCAAGTGATTCTAATAAGAATGTAGAGTGTGGAATTCTACTGCTATCGAAGAAAGAGGGAAGTGAGTGGACCAACAAGAATATTATCCAAGGGGGACTCATGAGGATGATTGTGGAGGGTAACTCCTCGGAGGTTTATCAACTCCTCAAGCTCCTTGGATTCCTCATGAGGCCCTTTCCAGTACCGGATAAAGAAGGAACTGTTAAGAGGATTGTAGAACAACTCAAGGCTCTTGTTGCGTCCGATGCCGGCTCTCCTGACCTTCAGGAAGGTGCTATTTCTGCACTGGTGAGCCTGTCTCGTCACAGATTCGATGACATTGCTGCTTCTGTTTTGAATTGGCAGCCCATTCGAGCGTTACCCACCTTTCTGCATGAACAGATGAATGCGTTCTTCGCTGCTCGTACCACCCATTGGAGTTATATTAAAGCTAAGAATCGGAAATATGCGGGAGGCCCGTGAGTTTATGGGGATGTGAAGTGGAATCGTCGGGTTTTATCGAGAGGAACGAATTATTTGAAATTCCACCGATCGATCGAATTAACACTTATCCGCTAAGAAATGTTCATTTTATTGATAAATTAAATATTAATTAATCATTAATACCCCATGCACTTGAATTTATTTACTGTATTCGTCTGGAAAGATATATCATCAACTAATTTATCAAGATTGAATGAGTTAATGAATTTACGAATGAATGAAGTTAAAAAAAAAATCATTATTTTATAATAAATGAATGGATCTTTTTCAATCTTTTTCATGTAAAGAGCCTCTCTGAATTATTCAAAATCGATTGTTCGCCCCTTGAGTGAAATAAAATGAGCAATGGAATATTGTCGTCAATTCCCCGAAAGATTCCTTCACCTTCTCATGCATCTTCCGGGTTTTAATGGAACATCCGATGAATATTCAAATCTCCGTTCATGGTCTATCGCGCAGACCATAATTATAGGATCTCTGGGTTCATCGAACCCGATATGAACTCGAAAACAAACAGAAATGGAAAAAATAAAGAAACATTTCCTTTTCACGGACCCAACAGCTCTCAGGATTCCACACATAATTTAATCAATAAATAAATAAATAAATAAATAAATAAATAAATAAATAATGGGAATGATGTTCCGCAATCGAAAAAATGTCGATGCACGATTCATTACTTGTGTTTGCTATTTTTTAAATAAAAAAATTTGGTAGACAAGATACAGGCGATTTTTGTTTTTCAATTTCTTGAATAGTAATAATGAATGAATAATGATATAATAAGAATAATATTTTCAACATACTCGTAAGCCTTCCATACGCAGAGCATGCTAGGGTAATACAATGGTACTATTACATAGTTCTCGTTGGTATCTCAAATTAGTCTGCATTTGAAAATTTGTTCATATTTTTCAACTCCCACGAATTGAGTAATTTGCCTCTTTATTACAAAAATAATGAATAATAAACATTACCCAATGCGGTAATAACTTGACCATCTATTTTCCGATGTTAAGTGCTCCCAAAATGCTCAACCAATTAACGCATTACAATTTCACCTTCACATTTTTCCTGATATCATTACTACGAATATTATCATTTTCTCAAAATAAAGAAAAAAATATAATGAACATGTTTTATTATTCCCACCTCTAACTGCTATTTCGTACAATGTCATTAATTTGCATTTAACTCGTTTCGTTAAATCATTTCTTTTTATTTTTATCAGTTCAATGACGTGTCTTTGGTACATTTTTCAACGGACAGCTTCTCCATATTTTCATTTTAACGTTTAACTCACACCGCAAATAAATTAACGGGGTTGGGTATGTCGGACGGGGTTCCCACCATCCGCCGGTCATAAATGCCAACGCGATGCAGCAAGAAGTCATTACAAGGGACTGACTGAATATTACGAAAAAAAAAGACCATTATAACAATGACAAAAAGACAAATCGAGTTTACACGATAATATCTACACAAAAAGAACAATGCCAATTGATTTCTTTTGATTGATTAATCGTCTTTCAATGGGCTTTCAAATAGATCTTGAATAGTCATTTAAGTCGACGACATACGACAAAGTCAATGCTCCGTCGTTCAAGAGCGTCCACGGGGTGAAAACACTGCAGAGATGCTCATAAATTAATAACAAATTTCCAACGAATTTCGAAGATACTACATTAACAATTAATCAAACGTAATTAATTGTCCCCGATGATAATGGACTTCTTGGTGAATTCACGACGCTGTCTGATGCACTAAAATACCACAACTGTCTACAGTCTGTCTTATTCATGTGTTAATTGTTCTGCATGTTTCTCCATTAATCTATATCTGCCTAATTGACCTCGCTACACACAATTTTCAATGGTGCATACACGACTCACGTGTAAAAATGTGTATAATTTTGTGTCTCATTATTCTATATAATCGGGAAGAAAAGCACTGTTATTGTTTTTACTCATTCATTAAATTTGATATCTCATTTAGAAAAAAAAAACTGAAAGGCCACCTCTGGTACTGGACTCTTACAAAAGCTTTTTATCTCCCTCGCTATCTATTTTTCTCCATTCGTTAAATCGCATTCGTTTTACCATTTACATTAATTTTCTCTCTTTTTTACGTCTCCCTGAATTCCCACACGGAATTCGTTTCCAGTATTTATCAATAGACATTAATTGAATGAATTAATCGTAGAATATTGATAAGATAATAATTCGTAATAATATAGCAAGAATGGTAAGAATAAATTAGGAACCAAGTACAATACGAAGTTAACTAAGAAATTAAATTATAATACGCTTAACTATGGACTATTTATAAATTTTCATCATACTGTACGACTTTGTTTCATCATGAATTTGTTGTTCATTCTAATTTTGATTGTTTTTTTTTTCGAGGCCCTCTCGTAGGTTATCTCGCCGTACTGTTCACCCATGAATTTCATTGTTCTACCACTGGTAACGACTAGGCCTCACCAAATTTAACAAAAGAAAATACTGCAGGGGTATGGGGAATAGCTGCTTCATTTTATCATTTTCCCTTCTCTCTCTCACCTCAGTTCCTTTGCTCTCTCCTCTCCCCCTCCCAGGGAAGGAAATTGGAGTGAAGCTTGGGATTATGAATTGAGTACTCACAACAGTCGTGATAACAGAGCATTTGGGGGAGAGCTAAATATCAAACTCCTATCTACAAATATACAAATTACATATGCATCTTTTTCGAAAAAGTCCGCCTCTTTCTGACAGTAAAAAAAAATAATAAAAAAAAACTTTGAGTTTCTTTTCACAGTTGTTTGCGCACTAGACTCTGGGGGACAATGATGATTGATGAAAGCTCGTTTCCTTCCCCGACACTTTGGAAGGCACTCTTGAGGCTCATTGAGCATGAAACGACAAAACTTGGTAAAGGAAGGAGCAAGTCGTCGGAGATACGAGCAACGAAAAAAACATATATAGTAAAACCTCGTGAATATTCCTTTCCCTCACTCATTTCCTTTTGTCACTAAGTATATATATTTCTTCTTTCTCATCTCTCCCCCTGTTTAAAAGAAAAACGCGAGAATAATTTGCCCCTTTTATTGTTCGATAAAGGTGTTGAAATTCTGTCGCTTGTATATAAATATATAGATTTGTTACTTCTTATTTATATATAAAAGCGCAGAAAGTTGGTGAGAGTATTGGCTTTCGTCGATGTATTTATTTATTTATTTCCTTGGTGACTATTGACTCGAGCGTTTGGGTTCGCTTATCGAGGCTAGTCTCGTCATTTCCACCTGGGAGTAGTCATTCCATACGGGCATTCGGGTTTGCTCTATCGAGGGACACATCGCCGTCGACTGAAACCACAGATTAGGGGGTATTAATTGCATTTTAATTGGGATGAATTTCAAATTTTTTGATAGTCTATCTCGGTAATTAGAAGTTATGAGTGTTTTAGGAGATTGGTTTAATGGATAATTTTGGTAGAAAGTCACGAGTGTCTTTCACCAAAATCACTCGTTAGAAAGATAAGTGGGTGATTAGTACAGTGGAGACCTTCTATGTTGGGCATTTGGAGACCTACCGAGGAGTTTTGGTTCTTGGCCATGAAGATCATGAGGGAGCGACTGCGGTTACTGAACGGCCTCAACTCCGGATCTCTCCCAGGACCATCCACTGTGTCCGCGCAGTTATTACTGCAATTTAAATTCATTCGAATAATTATTATTTTATCATTCAATATCTCACTGATTCAAGATCACGCAGCATAAATCAATTTTCCATGGAATTTTTGGGTAATAATTTATGATAAATCTAATTGAGATGATCGGATAATCTAGTCATTCGACTATTCTAAATCGTTTTCATTTGGATTAATAACATTTCCAATAGATTCTCAACGTCTAACTAATTATTTTTTTATTTGTCTCTTATTCCGGTGAATTCCATGGGAAATTGCAGCCAGTCATTTGCACGTGTTTACCGATTGTCTTCATAAATATATTAATTACCTCGATCGTAATTCTTTCTGTTTACGTTTACAGTGAATGTAAGCCGCTATACAAATAATAACGACGAGAAATACTGCTATAGTGGCACCTCCGGCGATGCTGGCGGTTTCCAACATTACCCTTTGTCTGGAAGCTACAAAACCATAATTAATTAATAAATATTGATCAATGATATGTCTATGATATAGATGAATGGAGAATATACTCACGCAAATAGGAACCATCCAAGTCCTTAAATTCACATCTTTGCCCTATAAACCCATTGGCGCATCTGAAATTGAAAAAAAAAAAAAGATAATCAGACGAGATTCGTATATAGGACGGAATACTTCTCCATGTGCATTGACAATTAAAATAAATCACTCAATTGTTGACTTTTTTTTTGTTTCCCCTCGGGAATCAGTGGCGGAAGTGATGGATCGGAGGGTCTGAAAATTATCATTATATACTCTGGTCTCCATATTTCGGTTATCGAGGCTAATTGAGGGACCGTAATTGACGCAATTCCCACGGGGGTGGGCGCATTAACTGTTCGTTACAGATTAATCACCAGAGTAACTTCCTTCTTCGATTTGTCCAACGCGACAATTCAAATTCATAGAAATTCATGAAAATTATTTTCCTTTTTCCAGCACGTGCAATGAATAAATTATAAAACCCCCAAATTTTCCCCGAAAAAGAGAGGAAAAAATGTGAAAAAAAGTACGTGGAAAACTGAAGTAGGAAAAATTCCCAAGCGTGCCGACATAGCAGTGGAGGAATGAGACCGAGAAAATGAGATAAGTAGAACGGAATCTTTCATTCTCCATTCTCTCGGTCCTTTCAATTCCAAATATTCAATATATTTGTAACTCCCTCTAATATATCCGCAAAGCCCCCATGGAATTTACCGTTGTACGTGTTCTACCAGCCAACTCCAGGATTATCCTCTTTTTAGGGAGTGGAAGGGCCACAGCCAATGGAAAAGATTTTTCGAGTCAAAAGAATTCATCCTTTTTTCCAGTCTCACCGAATGGAAATCCCCAGATATCCCCAATATCGAATCTCCATTATTCCCTCGTGTGTAAAACCTCATTCCGCTTTGTTTGTTTTTCTCTTTTTTTTAACAACATTAAAGATCATTCCATTGGCCTGGTGTAAAATTTAGTTTTTACATAAACTCCTTTTTTTCCTCTCCATTTCTTCGTTCTCAGCAGATAATTGAAAAAGAAACGACCACGGAAGACTGGAGAGGAGATCTACCGCAGTGAAGATAACACTGAAATGGTGGGCTTTAAGCGAATCAGGTACAGCAGAGAGGGAAAAAGAGAGAAGACAAGTTGTGAGGAGAAAAAAAAAACCAGGATAAATAATAAAAGGGAGTCGTGCTCGTTCGAGCTTCCCGTTTCCCACGCTCGTCGCTTTGTCGGACGCGATCCGCCAAATTCTTTTCGTTTCGCATTGAAACCTGCCACCGCGGAGACACCGCCACTATAACAACTGCTTAGCGATAGTCCTACGCTTTCCCACTCTTTTTAACAAATTTCAATCCCAAATTCATCGGGAAAACTCAACTTCCCCGCATCTAGACGACTGATCCTGGAGTTAAATCCTCTGGACTACCTCCTAATCCATGTACTCACAACCGAATTCACAGACAATCTTGATATTGTTCTTGAGAATTGTTTGAAAAAACAAGAGAGACAGCTTATCGACCATTCTCGTCTTTTCCCGACTTTTTAAAGGGTTTTTTTTTTAGGCAAATATTACTCTCAATGTCGATTTTTAAAAAATGCATTTGAATAGGACAGGAAAAATCAAGGGGTCAGGAGTGGGCAACGACTCGTGTTATGGAAGGCCCTAAAACTCTGCCCCATTTATAGCGTGACGAACCCCAAGTACGGATTTTGCCGCATTGGCGCAAATTCGAATCAAAGGTCAGAGGCCTGAAATCTGCATTTTAGCGTATGGCCTCGGTCATCCAAGGCAAATAGTCTCCTATACTTGACATTGCAAATCACTCTCTGTCTCTCTTCCCCTTCAAACAATTTTTAAACTCGCCTACATGGAGAATAATTTATCGTAAATTATGCATAGAGTCATTCCTCCGCAACTACATGGGTAAAATCGTATTTCTCATTACTCCTAATCATGAGAGGAGTTTGGCTGACTGATGGAAAGTTGACACGAAACCCCCGGGCTTCACTTATCCTCTTTTAATTTTCCATTTTTTACACATCCTTGAACTAAAATAAATTTTTTTCATCAGCATTGCGTTTTCGCTTTATCCCTTCGGAGATTCTGCACCCTGTTTCATGCACTTTAAACCTAAATTAATTATAGTATCGTTAAAAATATTTTATATTACCACGAAGGATATTTATGATGTAAATAATACTCACAAACAATTGTAAAGAAGTGACTCTTGGATTTTGACGGTGAAGCACGTTGCCCCGTTGAGACAGTACCATTCCGCATAATCCGGTGGACATGTGTACATGTGGAATGTGATGTTGGGTCTTGGTGTCGGTGTTGGTGGTCTTGGTTTAGGCGTCGACCTCGACGAGCACGCGTCTGTAAGCGAAAAATTATCCCCAATTAGATAATTAACCAATCATAATTATCCTTCCTGAATCGTGCCATCCTGTCTTAGAATTTTACGTGGGCGTTGCTCCAAATTCTCTAAATAGTCAAAAGCATTTGAGAGAGCAAATAAATCCAAAAAATGATGGCATTTTCCCAAAACTATCCCCCTGGCCCACACCAATCCAAAGTGGTATCCACTAGAATTAATCTGGCCCCCGTGGTCCACTCAAATCCCCAAGCCCACAAAATCAATGAATTAATTCGATAGGAAGTGTACGTTACACAATCAACTGGCATAAAAAACCCAGAGCAGAAGAAAATAAAATAAAATATAAATATAATGGCGAAAAGGGCCCACGACTGATGGCTTTAGAAAAATATGACAATGGGCCCGGGGGCCCCGATATTCGAGAGGTGCTTAAAAAGAGTCTTATAGAGGGGTAACCAGAGAGAGACAGGGAAAAACAGAAAAAAAAGTGCGTGTGCGCCAAGGGCCCGTCAAGTATATATCAAGTATATACACAAGGCGACCGTTTGCGCTCTGTTGTGCCTTAGAGCTTGGGGTCGCATCTGCCCTGGGTTTCGCTATCTGTCACCTGTTGAAATTTAACGATCGCTGGATTGGCAAAAGAAAAACAACAAAAATGCGCCCAAAAGGCCTCTCAACATAAAATACAATGTGAAACCGCTGGGTAGACCGGAGAGGAAAAAAAAACACCGAATAAATGAAAAAAAAAATCCTCCCTTCCCCGCTATCAGGAATTTCTGCCTTTCGGTAAATATGTAGGGTCAACTGATGATTTATGAAACACTTGGTCCATCCACAGAATGCGTTTATTCTTAAATAATAATAGTAAAATTTTCACAATATGATTGAGAATTTGTTGCTAAGTGACTGAGTGAATAGAATCTTTTAAATATTTTTGCTTTTTGCCTGAGCACCCCAAATTTTTCACCGGCCATGCCATTCACACCAGTTTTGCACGTTACCATCTATTTCTATTTCTATTTTTAACTTCTTCTAGTGAGTGAATTATCGATTTGAATATAAATTTAGCGAGATTATAGCAAGTGAGAAAAACGTTCCGACGGAGAAAACCTTATACATAGAAAAATCTCCGACATTGTGAAAAATACAATGAATCTAATAAAAATTCTTATTTTGTATAAATTTTTTCAGAATAAAAAATGAAGAAGTTGAAATAATATGAAAACTACTCAATACCTCAAATAATATTTACTTTTCTATCAACTACAATTTAATCCAATGTCACAGAAATTAAGGAGGAGGGAAGTAAATATGTAAATATATGATAAATAACAATTGGACGTAAAGAATTAAAAAAAACGAGTACCTGTAATACCAAACAGCGTGTAGGAAAGAACGAGTAGTGTGGCAAAGTACGATGGAATTCTGCGTCTCTGACGAAACCTAGCGACACCAGGAGACCTCGATAAGTCATCCCGATGGCACTCAGATGAACCCGATGAAAATCCCGAGTTATCCCTGTTAACGTCATGAGGGTTCCTCCGTATACCCGTCGTTAACGACGTCCTGTGAATCCCCGTTATCCTCGTAATACTCTCCACCTCGTCTCGACTCGCTTCCCCGACAACCTGGTTGAGCTTCCATCTCTGATTATCCTCTAATCTGCTCTCCTCAATTTGTTGACGATAATGCAAGCAACGCAGTCTAACGTCATCCAACCTATCCTCGGAGATTCTCCCGGGATCAATTATAAACTGTCCATCCAGTTCGCCAGTTCTCACTTCCTGTTCCTGGGACGATTCACCAGCACCTGGCACACCACCGCAATATCGACGCACGTGTCGTCGTCTCCCTGCAATTGCAACAATAATTTATCAGTGATTACAATAGTGAGATAATGGCGGACAGTGCGAAGCAGTGACAAAGGATAATATTGAGGGAAAAGATTTAATCAAAATTTTTTTATACTCTCGCTGATGATGTCATTGTACTTTACGACTCGGTAATTCATTATTATTTTTTTATGAGTTCCTTCATTTGGCTTTTTTATGTTTTAACTTTTTCTGTTGCAATTGGTGAGGTAGTTGCGAAAAAGTGATTTATTTACAGTACTGGGACAAAATAAAATGGTTTTTCCTTCTTTTTTTTTCAGGGTTGAGAAAGAAATCCCACTGATGTAATCTTATCTCATCAAGACTTTATCGACAGGCCTGATAAGGCTGTACCTAGAATTTACTTGGCACACTGCGGTCCTGAGGGGCTTGGCTTAGGTGTATGAGTGAGAAATAGTATGGGGAAGTGTCGCATATAAGTAGGTGACACACGCAAACGATACATGGCTGCTGACATCCCACGTGCACTACTCTATAGCTCTGATTAATAATTGGTCATTTCCCCTCCTCGTTTCATGTACTCGTCAACTCCTCTTTCTTTTACACATGGGAGTTTTTATTATCCCGGTTGAGTTTCATATCGTCCACTGGACACCTACGTTTCGGGTTATTTTGTAATTACGCGAGTTTGCGCGTAACATCCGCCAGCAGATGACTATCATCACCTCGATTTTCCACTCTTGGGGGTCGCAGTGTGAAGTCATCACCGTGTAGTTACCGTTATTGGAGAGTCACACATCATTTTCGTCATGGGATTGGGGAACCAGCCAATTGAAAAATATTACTCAAATGGCTCAAATTTGTCATTTAGTGATGCGACGACGTGACGGCTCACTTCACCAACTGGATTTCTCTCAATTGGATTAATCCATTCCGACTAATTGCGAATGGTTACGACTTTCGCAATTTTTGTCATAGTCAAAGTGTGATTTTCTAGGAAATCACTCGAATTCGATATTTACTCATTTATTTTGGAAACAGAAATTTGTAAAAATGAACTTGCATCAACGAATCCAAGTCATTATTCTCATGGAAATAAATAAAAATCATTATCTAAATCATAATCATTGGGCTAAATAATTATTAGAATAATCATAAATGATTTTTGTTGTCGGCTACTGATGATACAGAGCTGCACCACTCAACCCGACCCCTAAGAAATGGCGCAGACAAACCCCTAATCCGAGCTTTTCATCCGAAAAAAAAAAATGGGAAAATCAGAGAGAATTTTCTCCCCCTCAACAGAAGGCACAAAAAAAAGGAAAGGGGAGACCAGAGACGGAATCGCGGGGGACATGGGGCACGTGGCAGATTTTTTCCAAGAGGGTTTGAGGAACCAGCTGCAGCACTCGCGACAACCGGAACCTGAAAACGACTTTTAATAGTCCCAAAATATGTTATTCCACACATATTTGAGTGGTAAAAAAAACGCATGCTGTTTCTATCAGATGCGTTATGTGTACTCAAGTCCCTCAGCTTGCAGCCGTTTCCCCTCCACCAGACCTATCTCCTCATATTCTTATGGTACAAATGTTGAATTTCCAAGAGTTGTTGTTGTTGAAATTTTTATACGTCCCAGATATAACTGAATGGGCCGGGTTTATGGTATTTGAAAAGGCTGCGGATGTGTGGAGATAAGTTGCAAAAGAGCTATTGTCGAGGTTGAGGGGCTGAGATGAAGGGTTTGGTTACACTTACCCCTCCACCCCCTGGAAGGTGGGCAATTCACCCTCTAATCCCTCATCCCTTTATCCACCGCAGTGCAGTAGTGCAATTGTGAATCTCCAGTTCCCCTTAAAAAAAAACCCCACATTACCAAATAATTCCAATAATAGAGGTACATGGCACGTGCCACAAGTGTCCAACACTTGGTCTCCCCAGACATCACGCATGCCCTTCAACAATAAAGAATAAATAAAGCAACATATTGGCGCACACGTTGACTGATATCTTCACAATCCCAAAAGAAAGAAGAAAATATATAGCACACATGCTGACGGCCAAGGTGCGGTCTTGGTCGAAGATGAAAATGGGCATAGGAAACACGTGGTTTGAAAATTGAGAGGATATCTGCACATGCTCTTCCCGCATTTCCCTATGTGCATTCAGAATCTCCAGCTGCCAAAGGTGGATTCGATGGAGGTGGAGTAGAGAAAAAAAATACATGAAAAAGGAGAATGGGAGGGCAGGAAAGGGTCTCATTCCTTATACCTGTTTCTCATACACCACTTTCTACCGAAAAACTCAACCGTAACGCGAGTCCACGAGCCACGCGCCCAGCTTCTTCTCCACAAATATCCAATATTGTGCATCTGTATCGCATGTCTCATCGCTCATCGCATCGGATATGCAAAAAATTAAGTTCTGCTTCGCTTCGGTCCATGTTTATATCACCTTTTTACAACTTTTCACTCGAAATTTTCTAGAAATTTTTTTTTCAATGTTTCAAAAAATTTCAAAAGGGTTTTTTTAAATGTCATTGAATCATGATAATTTGCGAGAAATTGGAAAATACGTCATGTTAAAAATTAAAATTCCTCATGTAAATATGAGGATACAGGAAAAAAAAAAGAAAATAATATCTAATGACCTTTTGTTTTTAGACACGCGATATAATATATATGATATCCATATATTCAAGTGGGGCTTGGTGTCTCTCCATCTCGTATATTGTGCCTGAGACCTCCTTGACACCGTTGATTTTTAAATGCGAAGGTGCTTACGTGCTTACTCTCTGCCTACGACTAACGCCTTCTACCTACGAGCCTCAACGTGAGTCATCGACTTCCTTTTCGTTCATTATTGCCCGGGGGTTATTCCATTCCTCGATTTTCAATCGTTGATCAATTTTTCCAATCTATCGGAAGATTTTATGCCTCTCTCAGCCCAACTATTTATCTGGTAGTGGCAAACTGGATTTTCATTCATCGTGTGGGTTTCAAGCTCTGGGTAGTTATTCATTGAAGGAAAACTCGCATACCCTAACATCTGAAAAACAGATAGATAATGGAGCAGCTGCGGCCTCAGGCCACTGAAACCAGCATGTGCCATCCTCAATCTTTTTTCTCCTCATCAGGAGCACCGACATGTCGGAGCGCACAGCGCAGCTAGCAAAAAGTTTATCAAAGTGCTGGGGATGGCACGCGCGTCAGATAAGAGGTGCGTTAGATAACCTCAGCTTTGGTTTCACATTTTCAGCACAGTCATTTTACCGGATGATTTTTTTTCTAATTACCCACTCTCGTAAATTTGAAAACAGTTGAGAGTTCATTCAAATTGGCAAATGTATTCCTCTGAAATTCACCAAGTCTTTGCTTCTTTTTTCCCTATTTTATTCAAATTTCTATTAAAAAAAAAAGGTGAATTTTTCTAATGAAGCCTCCAATATTATATCTAGTGAAATCAATATCTTCAAGTTTTCAATATTCTATAATTGGAAGAAGAACGACAACCCAATTGCTATATCGAGATAAATGTCTTCTGGGTGAATGCGAAATGACACGATTATGGTGGAAGAGTAGTGCCACCAAAGTAGACAGACATGGGCCCTCGAAACAATTCACCTGGTGCGACAAAAGCTGATCAATCCCCCAGTAATCGATCTCATAAAAAGGTGGTGTTGGCGAAGAGGCACACGTCGGCTAAGAGGCATCTCAGATGACAGTTCGTGCCGTATCGCATGCTCGGCAGTTGCATCGCTCCACTACTGTCGGCTATTGCTTAAAAAAACATTATATGATGTAAAGAAAAAGGATAAGTGATAAAGTAGAATGGGTATACGGGATCCAGTGCCCAGGGTTATTGTAAGCACACACCGGCCATCAGCTCGACCATCAACTCACAACACATGGTCCGCCTCGGAAGCCGCAGATGGTTCGAACGACGATTATGGTTTTTTGCCCTGAACCCAAAATTCAAACTCAAACTGCAGCCGATGTATTCTGTGTTCTGTGCTTTTTTTTTTCTTTTCCCTTCATCCTCCACCACCCATCAACGAAACATTGTAAGGGTACTTGTCTCGATCTCAACATATTTTTCGTTTGTCCAGGGCGTGCGCCTGCTCACGAATATCAACCAATAATTATTGGTTTATCCCCGCAGACGTTACAATGTTGGTGTTCCTGTTTATTATTTGACATAGTTCGCTGCTTGGGGGATTCAATGGATTACATTCCTCCTGAGAAAACAATTGGCCTGTTCTCCCTTCTCCCCTTTTCTTTTTGAACTGCTCATTGGCTTCTGAATCATTCACTATCTCCAGACATTTCCTGATTTTTCCTCACTAAATTAAATGTGCCCATGAATGACTCATTCATTGATGAATTCTAATAGGGCTGAAAGTCCAGTCGAAATGTCCAGTTGTCATGTGGGATCTGGCGGATTATGAGGGATTATTTCTGGAGAGCCAGTGGCGATTTTGAAATGAACGTTTGGTCCTGTTTTTTTGGAACGGCTGATGATCAACCCTCGTCATCACAAAAACGGAACCGAAAAACAATGAAGACATATGCTCAAGACTCTGAAGTGGGTTTAGATTAGGACCATCGGGGGAGACCTAAGAGTTTGTTGTTCTCGCATTCTCTGTTTTTCTCTCATTTTTTTTTCCTTTTTCACCGGGAGGTCGATCAACGGCAGACGACAATGGCGCGATGCCGCACCAAGGATAATTGGACGGCGCGTTAAATTAGAGGGAGAGCCTGTTTCTTTGGAGCGGCGAGCGGAACGAGGCGGAATAATTTTCCTTGTTTTCGAGAGCAAGGCAAGAGGGATTGGATCGTTAAGGGTACCTACTATATCCACCAGGTGGGTGGTGGCCGAATTACTTCGGGAGGATTAGCTACGACCTGTCCTGAGGACTGCATGATTAAAAACCCAGGAGGACAAGTTGGATTGGGAGGATGGGATAAATTGTATTTTTTGAACTTCAAACAAATTATTGGGAGTTATTTGAATTACACTA